GGCGGTCGGGACGGGGCTGGAGCCGGCGCGGGCCTGAGCGGAGTGACGGACAGGGCGGGACCTCGGGGGCGGATCTAGGGGAGGGGGGGTTGTGCCCCTCGGGGGCGGGGCTTGAGTGACTGACAGGGTGGGGCGAGGCTGGCGCGTGCTGCGGCGAGCGGGATGACAGGAAGGCAGGGCTAGGGAGGGGAGGCGGGCGCCGTGCGGGGGCGGGACCAGAGGTAACCAAAAGAGCAAGGTTCGGGCCACGGCGAGGGCTTATGGTGGTTTATGAAGGCAGCGCCCGAGTGATGGACAGGGCAGGAGGGGGCCGAGGCTGAGCGATAGGAGCCTTTTAGGTAGGGGCGAGGCCGGCCTCGGGCTAAGCTAGGACAGCGAGGCGAGCTGGGCGGGGCCAGCGATAACTGACGGGACAGGGTAGGGCTGGAGATTGCGCAACGCGGGACTACCAGGTGGAGCCCAGCGAGAAGAGGGCACAATCACTGTCCGAGGGGCGCGGGAGGGATGACTGGCAGCTCGAGGCCGGGAAGGAGGGAGGAGACGCGGGGACGTAGGCGTTGTAGTATGAATGACAAACCAGGTGGCGGACCTGGAATAAGGGACGCTTGTGGGTGGTGAGGGCGGGGGCTAAGGGGCCATGAGTGACAGCCAGAGGGGTCGGCCCCAAACATCGCCCCTGCGGCTCTGCAAAGAACTCCGCTTCCGGCTGAACACCGCTAGCTTCGCGCATTTTTCGTGCCCCAGGTGAGGGATGGCTCGCCGTTGCTGCCCGGGCTGCCAGCAGCCGGACCCCTCCCTCAGCCTGAGTGTGTCCCCCCTGAGGCGGAGGCGTTGCAGAGAGATCAGACCCGCCCGAAGGAGGTTTCCATCTTCTACGTTTCCATCTGGTCACCGGTCTCGTCCCAATGAAATCAGTCCAAGGGCGTCCACCTGCCCCTGATCGCGCCACGGGATAGGTCCCAGGGCCGGGAAACCCGCCCTTAGTGGCGGTCCCCGTGGCAGCCCTGGTTCGGCGTCGGTTCTGACCCGGTCCTCTTGTCCACACTGTTGCAGAAGCGCTTTCTGGGCTGGGCCCTGAAGCTGAGGGTCTTCGCGCGATTCCTCCGAGTCTGCGCTGCCGCCCGGGCACCCTCACGCTGGCGCTGCCCGTCGCCCTGCAGGCCTCAGCGTTCCGGAATCACTGCGCCCCCGCCGAGCCCGCGCCTTAACCCGCATTCCCGCTGGTGAGCGGGGCGCTTCGCCCTCCATTCCTGACCACGCCCCGTCTGTTCACCGGCCCCGCCCTCCTCCCAAGTGGTCCCACTCACTTAGCGCCTCAGTTTTGCTGCTGTTCCCTGACCCTGCCCTTACAGTGCAACCCCGCCCCTAAGGGTACGGTCCGCCCACCTTTTCCCGCCGCTGTATCCCAGGCCCCATCCACCCTCCATCTCTGGCCCCGCCCCGCAGTCATTGGCCCCGCCCCCCCGTACCACACCTCCTCCTCATGTTCAAGGGCTCCTGAGGGGCCGAGGGTCGAGGTGTGCAACGCTTTGTCCAACACCTCTGCTTACTTTCGCTCTCGGGTCCTACGTGAGGCCGAGGTCTTCTTCACTGTCCGCTCTGGGCTGGCGAGGCCGGTCGTAGCGGCAGGATGCTGGGGTCGTGGCTCAGGTCTTCGTGTCTGGGCAGAATCTCGTGGGCTTTGATCAAGTGAATGCGATCTGATCAAGTGAATGCTAGCTGCCCCTTTCTGTAGGGGCGCCCACTGGCGGATCGGAACCTCAGGGCCGGCAGAAAGGGACAGATTCCTCTCACCTCCTATCTCTATTTCTGCAGTCTCATCCTGCATTCACACGTAGGGCCCTCACATTGCGATGAGTGGCCTGTAATGCTCCATCCAGAGCCCCCTTCTCTCTTGTGCCCGCCAAGGTTCCTGGGGAAGACTCCTACTCCTCGGCCCCGGGACACCTGAGTGACCTACCCCATGGGAGAGTCCGTCCATTCCAGGTTCGGGACCTCGAGACACTGTTCTGCATAGCCCCGCAGGCGGTGGTGCTGCCTTATATTAACCTTGAGCAGCCCATGGCCTTCCTCCACCCCATAGCCCTCAGCTCTGGGGGCGGGCTTCCCCAACAGATGTTCCTCATCACAGCATCACCCCACATCTTGGGCCTGAAGTTCCCACAGAGGCGGGGGTGGGAGAGGGCAGGGCAGAACAGAGGGTCATGTTCCCCAAATGCCTTCCCTTGGGAGGCCCTGTGAGGCTTGGGGAAACTGAGGCCCAGAAATGGCACCGCTTGGCTGCCAGCATGGCAGCAGTAGAGCCTACACATCAGCTAGTCACTCTAGTGCAGCCAGCACCCGCCTGCCCCCAGAAAAGCCTGACAAGACTCAAGGAGTGTTCTCCCCAGGTTGCCCAAAGGAGGGTCTTCCCTTGTCCTCTGTCCATAGGGCTGCTCTTTTTTTTTTTTTTTTT